ACATGTAACTAAAAGAAAATAAAGAAAATGACATGGGGTCCACATGTTCCCATGTTTAAAACAAAATAACTTATTACATTTTACACATGTTACTTATTATATATGACACAATATTCAAGATTGCCTTTAAATATGCTGCGTTAAATTTCGTCGGCAAAATCTTGATGGTCCACGTATTATTTCCGCTTTTTGGATACACGTCAGCGTATTACGTGTTGGACTTTTTCGGATGTCCAAATCTCCATCCTCCAGATTTTTATCAATCTTTGAAGTTATCTACTTCGATAAGATCAATAAAATCTTTTAGAGTCGCATCTTCTTGGGCTTCCTAGTCGTGGGCTAAGACCAACCTTAGAAGATCAATAGTTCATTCCATTAAGGCTTGCTTCGGTAGATGGGCCAAATCGAACCCTTCTAGTAGCGTTCTCAACTGGGCCTGATTATGTTGAAAGAGAGTATCCTGGATCAATGCATACCTGTCTGGTATAACTACCACAATTCCATTCTGAATATGGACAGTAGCATTTGCTTTTACAAGCTCCTCCAATTTAGATTTAACCAGTAGCAATTTTGCAATATGCAACCTGGTCCAATCTTCCTCTTCTTTCTTTTGAATTTCTTCTAGTGCATAAGAACCCATTTTTACCTCATTATCGAGCATAATTCGGTACCATGATTCTCCTACAAGAAATTCCCATATCTGTACAGGTTGAACATCATAGCTCTCTTGTAATGAGGAAGTAATCATGCAAGTGAAAGTGTCAACTTTCCGATTCAATACACAGAGCGTTTGCTTAACCGCATCTGGCATATTCGGATCCACCATCGCTTCCTATACGTCAATTTGCATTGTATCGATCCATCCTTTAGTCAAAAGATCTCTACAGAAACCTTTTCTAAAGATTTTCCATGGAACGAACAATTCCATAGCTCCATTAGGATAAACCGCTAATCCTTAAACCACATCTGTCAAGTCAGTTTTTCCCAATTTCACTATTAATTCATTCAAATTCTCGAGTTTGAGTGTCGACATGTCAAACAAATGACATTTTCTCATTACCTCAAGTTTTTGAATTCCTGCTTCATAGAGTAAAGCAGTTCCCTTGAACTCCTCATCCTCATAAAACAGTTTGTCAGCTTCCAGCCACGGTAACCTTCTTGCTAGTTTTTCTAAACATCTCTGCAGCTGTACTTCCCCTTGTCATGTTGCCATTGCGATCCTAATTTGGGTTTCCAGATTCTCCCAGAGTGTTTGACTTACAAAAGTTAATCTTACGCCTTCTGGAAAGCTAAACCTCTCACAAATATTTGCGTCAATTAACCGTTTTTTTTGTGGAGTGTGTGTCACCACGCTTGTAGCGCCTGACGATGATTTCTCGGAATTTTTGATCTTTGACAGTGGACAATTAGCTCGTTCATGTCCTTCCTGTTTGCAAGACCAGCAAACTAGTGCCTTTTTCTGAGTCGTTTCCTTCTTAAGATTAACACTCTTTTCAGAAGTATGTACCTTCGTAGAAGTATCACCCTGCAATCGTTGAAATTTCGGGTTTCTTCTATCCGAAGTATCAGAATCATAGTCATGATTCTTTCCTTCAATCTGCTTTACAGCAGTGACCTGCTTAGACGAAGAAGCCACCTACTTATCCGCAGTTTTCTCATTTTTAGCGGTAACCTTTGAAGTAGAAGTAACCTTCAAAGGGCAGTTCCTTCTCAAGTGTCCTCGTTGCTTACAGTTGGAGCATGAGAAGTGATTTCCAGTTTCCTTCTTGTCCGCCATTGTCCTGTAATTCTTTTGCAAAATGTCTGGACAAAAAGTCAGCAACAAAGTTAGATTTACCAAAAATATATTCAAATTTGATTCTATAATTTGCAAACCAAACGTAAGCCATCGTCTGTCCAGTAAGGCAACCTGAACAGGTACATTCATTCCTCCACGGAATAGACCCTGCACACGAATCTGTACAGCACCAAGTTGTACATAATTATACTTGCCATTTGCCCGTTTGGCAAAATTTCGAACCTTCCGTAGCCACTCATCATTCGAGAGTACTAATTCTCCCTCTCGAGACTGAGATAAAGCTACACGAACAGGTTTTTCGTGTACATCTTCCAAGCCTTCAGCTTTAAATAGCCACTTAGAGCGTTTCTCAAAAACCTCTCTAAGTGTTAACCTCGGAATTACCCAATTATCAGGGTTACCCGAGTGATCCTCGTAATTAGATGATGAACTAATTACCGAGTTAGGGTTTTCATCTTCATTTCTAATTGGAATAAGATCATCCTCATCACCAATACCGCTATTCCTAGGATATTCATTTAGACTACTAGTCCGTTGCATGAATATACCTACACGTTGAAGAGTTGAAGATTGTTCCTCAAAAGTCGTATCTTTTGAGTCATCCTCTGAAGAATCTGAATCACCAGAGTAATCCGAAATTAATTCATAAACCTCATCATCAGAATCAATTTTGTATCCCCAAACTGGCTCAAATTTAGAAGTTTGACTTTCTGCGTTGACTTCCAAAAATCGTACCGTAGCCTTCTTCTTTCCCTTATGAGGGCATTTATCCGCAAAATGATTTTTGTCACCACAAATCCAGCAACAATTACAATCTTTTGCGTTTTTGCCAGATGGGCAGGTAGCACAAAACTTACGAGCTCCGCGTTCCTTAGCGTTAAGTCTACCTTTCCCTGTTCGCCTAATAAACCTTCCATGATCCGGAAGATTCCTTTTATTAGTAACAGGTTGTTTTACCATATTACGAAAACGTTTAGGCTTAAAGTTTCTTTTACCAAACGATCATTTTCGTCTCATATGGGTTTTCCAACCTTGATGTTTAGTCGAATTCTTTGACTCACAACCATATTGTCCTGGCATGCCATCAAAGTTTTGACAACAAGATTCGTTGAACTCAAGCCTTTTCGCTTCCTTATTCAGCTTGGCGTTCAAACATCTTGTCCTCACGAGTTGTCTAACAGCTTCTATTCTTCCTCCCAAAGAATCAACAACCTAATTCTTTTCAAGTAGAAGCTTAAACGTCTCATTTGCTGCCTTATCCCATCCTGGGGGAAGCTTAGCAAAGAAAGTATTTTTCATGACTTCCTGTGTGCCACCAGGCAACTGATAAAAATATCGCCTATACTCACAGACGAAATTTTCAAGTAGACACATGTCACAAAGCCTAAGCTTTGTCAAAGCTTCTAAGGCAACTATCTCTGCGAGATTCCTACTGGTAAAAGTCATCCCAGTAAATTCTCAACAGAGCATATCCTTGAAAAGTGCAAAGATAGCCTCTGCATTCTTCAAGTCCCTTACAGTATCTAACAGACCAGTACTAGCTTCTAGACTTCGCCAAAAGCTTCCTGCAGCTCCCTGCAGTGTAGATCTTAAAAACTTGTAAGTATCACTGAGTCCAAAATTCTTATTTTGTATATGAACCCAGTTAACAGTTTCCCATGCTTCGATTGCATCCGTTACATTCGTAACACAATCGATGTTTAGGAAACTTCCGCTAGACGGTATCTCCACCATTCTAGGTACTCCCCTAGGTACAAATTCTGACCTTATCTTTGTAAGATAAGTAGGTTTGTATTCGGGTTTGGAGATTTCCTTAAGGAATCCTTCAAAGGAATTTAAAGGATTACGAATTCCTTCAAGTGGATCATCTTTAAACTCAGATTCCCTGAGTTTCGAGATTAGCTCATCGAGCTCTGCCTTTTTAGGACCTGGACCTGGAGTAAGTTTCAATCCTCCAGTTTCGTCTCCTTTCCTTTGTTTCTTCATTTCTTCCTCATAATACCTGCTGATTCGTTCAGCATCAGAGGTAGAAATTTTCGGAATATCAACCTTCCGTTTTCCATCCACTTTAGAAACAAAGTCTTCTTCCTTAACACCTTTCATAAAGAGTTTTCCGCCTTTTCTCAATTACCTTGGGTTTCTTTGGCCACGAACTGGGCATATCCTGGAGGCAATCCAGGATATTTTTTCTGCAAACTAGCCACAAACTGATCCAAAACATCCTGACCACCCATGGTCAATTTGAATCAGGTCTCAACTCAGTTGTAAAGTCTGACTCTTTATATGGTGTAGGATCTGGATCCGGCTGGGATTCGCCGTACCAGTAAGGAATTACCGCCTCAACCTTTTCCAATCACTTATTCCGAAGCTCTAGCTCAGAGACTTCAATGGTGGAAATCCGACAAATAAAACACAAAATCTTTGTGCACCCTTGACTAAAAGCCTTTTGAATAACATCCAAAACTCGCTTTACACCTAGCCAAGTCAAATATTCTTCTCGAATATTTGGATTGCCGTTACAGAGGTCCAACACAATTCGTTTCACCTCTTGTTCAGTATATCCTTCAATAGGCCACACTTGTTCGATGTCACTCAGCACCAGAGACATCTCCTATTTTACCGGCTTAGTAAAATAGTTAGAACACGTTCCAGTGTTTTGACCTTTTGAAGTACAGAATTAACCTTTTCAATCTGATTCCTGATCTGGGTTAATTCTTCATTTAGAGCAAATATACGATACACCGTATAATTCACTCTCCTGTCTAAGTTTTCAAGCTTCTGGGTTAAAAGCTCTAACTTATCTATAACAATATTTAACAAACCGATCTCCAGTTTTCCCTCGAGACCATGATCGGGATTAATGTCATTAATTCTAAAATTAAACTTAATTTAATTGAAAAGATATACATATTGATCCAGATAAATTTGTAAGGTTTAGACAATAGGGGCCTGACGAGGCAATTGGCTCTTTAATGGCTAATTATGGGCTTATAAGTAGCAGTCATAAATTCAATTCTTCATTTCATTTTTATCCAAAAGAGAATGTTTTTTATGCACTACTTTTTTCTTGACTGACCATGTATTAAAATTTGTTGCTCAGTCTGGTCTTGTAAACTTTGAAACATTTGGAATTCATTGTTATGAACATCTTTTTTCCCTGTAAAATTATAAGCCAATACATAAATATATAACATCGCCAGAAGCAACTAAATTATATACAGGAAGACTTAATAAAATAAATTATTCCTTTCAAACATTATGTAAAAATATACATGACTCAGGTCCTGTTGATTTATGTATATATTTCCTATGCACTATGTTCATCCAGGAAAGAGAAACACATCTCACTTGCTCCATGGAAAGCACCAACACCTCTGTAAAGCCAGTGACAGAAATATCAGAATATCAAGCCAAACAACAAACTAAATGATTAGGTAATTAATTTATGATGCCTTTTGCTTCCCCAGAAATGGCCAAGACATGCATCATTGAAGCTTTGAGGGATTACAATTGATTCATTAACAGATATTGCTACATACCTTGGGTGTCTTGTTGTCATGCCGCTTCCGAACTCTGGAGGAAGAGTTTTGGGTTGCGGCAACTGGTTCCATTCCATTTCCATTCAGCTTCTCTTTTCTCACTTTGTCGAAGGCGTGAGTGAATCCATCTGCTGATGCGGGATTGGACTCATCCCAATCACCAAATTTTGGAACCGCAGCACTGTGATTGGGCTGCCATAAGAATTGTAACATCATTAAACTTGATAATATATATCAATGTGGCACAATGCAACCTCTTCTAACCCACCCACTTTCCATAAAATCGGTTAATAATTTGAACAAAGTATTTTAGTCTTTTTAAAAAAATGAGTATTGCACTTTTAACAGGTAAAGTATAGAGATGACAATAAAAAGAACTAGAAAAGCAGAGAGAACAAGAACTGCCAAAGTTCCAATTATTTCCAGAATATCAAAATGCAGAAATTTTGCTACAGCGAAAAGGACCCCAGCTGTATCAAATTGGACTCAACAAAAATATTTTCTCCTACTTTCTAGGTGATGTTTGCCAATAAATAAGCAGAAAAGCTAATATCAATTTTCTGAATGCATTTGAAGAAAGTATATGTACCATTGTATTAGTACTAAGGACTACTTTACAATTCCAGTAATCCAGACTTCTACCAGTTCTTAAACAGAAACCCATTCTTTTTCTTGGAAGCACGTTTATGAGAACAGAAAACAGAAAAAACCGCAAACCCCATTCCATGTATTCGTAATTTTAACTCTGAGTTTGCAGCCTTTAATCTCAGCTTAACTGACTAATGTTTGAAACTATTCCTCAACATTGTGAAGAGATCATCTTATAAAATGCTTATGTGCAAAATGTAGTAAGTGTTAATGCAAATTTAAGAATGTTGTTGACAAGAAATCAAAGGGAAGAAAATTACAGTGTCATTTCCTCGAGTAACTGATCTCATCTGGGATCTTCCAGGATTTAAGGGAGCTAAGTTGTTGCTACCTTCTGTTGAACTCTTTCTTGGCCACAAGGGAGAAGATATTCCACTGCCTTTGCCTCCAACCCTTGCTTGGTGATTTTTGGCTAAGGCCAAGTGTTCAATTCTGTGATCAGACCCTACATTCTGCCGTGTGGCCTTTTTAGGGCTATCATTGGAGCTTACGCTGCCATCACGGTGAAGAGGTAAGCCACTGGCATCTTTCCGGTTTGCAGGGTCATGGTGTAGCAGAGATTCAGATGGCCTCCGTAGATCACCATCCTCTCGGCTTGAGCTCTGCACATGCTTTTTCCTTAGTGCCTCTTGCCCCTTTTGTGATCCTGATTTGATCTCCATCTGGAAAGGAGGAGCTTGAACTGGAGACAGATTATCAGAAGACATATCCAGATTTCCTCTAGTATTATTTGAATTTTTCTTCACACTTCTATTACTCCTTGCCTTCTCAAAATAGGCTGTGTAAGGGACATTGTCTGCATTTTCCCAATTGCCAAACTTGGGCACTTGTGAACGTTGCTACAAAAAATCAAAGAATAGAAAAGTTGAAGATAAACAAACAAGGGCAGTATCAGTTGAATCATCACACAGGGTGATTTGTAACAAAAACCAGTAAATTCAAGAATCATTATTCTTGTTTTTGAAGATTTAAGGAAAATAAATTTTCAACAAAGCTAATATTGATGACCAAGTGGAATAAAAAGTGAATATTTTGCTCTCAGCATTCTGGAAAGTCATTTCCAGAGATAAGTCTAGATTTATATAATTTCTTCGCATCATAGACCTGCATTGTTGCCAAAAGTAAGTTCTGTAGCAGTGATAACATTCTCATTAGCAAGCATTTTATGCTCTTTTTCACTGATTTATTGTTCTTTAAAGACAAACTGAACCATAGTGAAATCATTAACAACAAACCGTAATGTTCATAATAGCACAGTGTGCAGATCCATACATACTTAAGCACTAAAGGTACAACCAGGCATTAAGAACTTAATCTGGGTAATCAGAAACTTTGGCATGCATCCGCTGAGACAAAGTGAAAAGTTACCAAACCAAGGTCAGGTTCTTCTCCTGGAATGACCGTAATCATTTCAGGTTTAAGGTTGGTTTGCCCTGCCTTCTTGTAATCTATTGGAAATGAAGGTATCCACGAACCAGTAATGCGTATGAATTAATTGAATCCAAAAACTATGCAAAATCACATTAAGAGTACTCTTTTCAAAGAATATGCCAAATGTGTTCTAAGCATGCCATCATATCTCAATTAAGCCAGCTTTCCTCTTCTCAAGCAGAACACAAACAAAACAAAAAACTATTACATCGTGGTAATGTAGTCTGTTAGAATTTTATTAAGTTCAACCAATAAAAATATGGTACAACTCATTTTCTATGATATTAGATTATGGTATAGCTAAAATCATCCTCCATTATTTTCCCTATATATAAAATTCAAATAATTTGGATAATCAGATCTATTAAAAGCCTATATGTTGATCGGATCATATTCACCACACAGCATACAGCCGTGTTCCAGTGCCCATATAAATCATTAAAATAATTTGTGATTCAAAAGGAAAACTAAAATAAAATCCATTCATACATGCTCAAACAGAGCAAAAATCACTAAACAACATATATGCAAGAGCTAAAACCCAGAAGCTAAATAATCATAACTTTAATATTAAAGTTCATAAAAGGACAAACGAAGAGGACCAAAACTAAATCTTGACACCAAATTAAACATACTAAACTGATATAAAAACCAAAGCATAGTAGACACAGTATTGCATTATTATTTAACAAAACAGAAAGCAGAACATGTAGAAAAGGCAGACCCATCTCATAGTTCTGATATAAATGCGGAAAATATAGACATAAAGATGAAGTAAGAGAAGAGAACTCACTGCCATTAATGTTAAAACACAGCTTCGTTAAACAACCACCAAAATGGAAAAAGAAGTTGTATTGTTTTATCAGACCAATTCAAGTATAGTTGGAAAGTTTCTTCACAAATGCCAACGACCAAACCGTCACAAAAGCAACTCAAAAAGACAATACACTTATGTAATAAATCAATAACACATTAAACAACGACTTTGACTTCTTCAGGTCTTCTCACTTCTCACGCTGTTTCTTCTTCTTCTTCTTCTTCTTCTTTTCTTTTTTTATATCACGCCATGTTGTTTAAGATTTCAAGTTGCAGAGAAATGAATTGTTTTTTATTTTAATTTTTATAATGTACAAAAGATAAGGATAAACTGTAAAAATTCTGAACTTAAAATTTGAGGGAAAAAAAATCCCCCTATCTTTAGTTTATTTATTTTAATTTAGCATTAAAAATATATAATTTAATTTTCAAGTTAAGATCATTTAATAAAGTAATATTATTTTATTTGTTTATTTAGTTATTTCCATTTTTTTAAGTAGTAAAAAAATTAACTTCAAAATCAAGTAAAAAGTCATTGCTACTTATTGTATACGCTATTAAATTAATGTGAAAACAAATTTTCTAATTTAATATGCACCATTTCTTACTCATTGATGTTTATGTTTTATTTTCCTCTTGTTGTGGGTCCAAAGTATATGATTTTGACTTTGCAAAATCATTCTTCTAAATTAATTTTATACATTATTAATATCATCATTCATTGAACTTATAAATAATGCATCATTGGGTGGTCTAATGGCAAAAGAGCAAAAGAGTCTAATATGGTTCTCAAGTGCGAATGACCCCAAGCACTAATAGGGGTGACAATTGAGGAGATTTACTCGATCTTTTACTTCAGGACCTTAGAAAATTAGTTAAGGTGTACGCAAGTTGGGTCGGATACCCACAGTCACCAAAAATAAAAAAATATATAATTAAAAATTAAATTATACGTTTCCTTGTTTACATGATCAAAAAATATTTTTTTGGTTTATGAAATTTTGCATATGAATCCAAACATAGGAAGCTCTTAGGGTCAGCTTTGGAGTTTCATGGTAGCGGTTATGAGGGTAAACTACCGTAGAGGTTTTGAGGGTAAACCATCGTAGTGATTTTGAGAGGGTTTTAGTAACGGTTTTTAAAACACCCAACCTGTGCTTGGGAGTTTATTTTCCAGCGGTTCTGACAGTTTTTTTAAAATGATAAATTTATATATATGCCCATAAAAATACCCTAACTCTAACTAGTATTTGAGAGTTTTATTTTTTTAATTACAAGGTAAGAGTTCTTTATTTGCTTTTTACTTATTAGTATTTTATAACTTTAAATGTGATAAAGTCTCCTTATCCTTCTTCGCCACTCTTTGTAGCATCTGGAATGATTGAAAAACTGTAGCTCCATTTTTCCAAGAAAGCATCTAGAAATGAGATTTTAATAATTTTTTTTTATGATTGCTTAAAATTATTTTATATTTAATATGGTTAGAGACGTACATAATATGGTTAAATTTTTTTTTGATATAATTGGGATATTTTTATAGTGGATAGGGTATTTGTGGAATAAAATTTTTAAACCAACCAAAATACCTCGATTTGGAGTGTTTTATAAACCCCTGAAAAATACACTACACTGGTTCTAAGGGGTTTTTGAGCCAGTCAAAACTAGTGCATAAAAAATCTGGCAAGTAATGATTTTAAAACACCTCAAAACTAGTCTAATCCCTCAAAACCATTGGAAAAAAAACCGTCACGCAAACCCTTATATATTTACTTATTAAAATGAAAAGTTCTGGCTCTAAGCAAAGTCCTAGCCAAATAGTTACACCCACGGTAACGTTTAAATTTAATTTATGGGATGTTAAATAATTCTGATTTATGAAAATGATTGTGGGTTTTTGAGTTAAAAATATAGGAAATATGAAAACATTTTTTCAATTGCTTTGCAAATTCCCTGGGTTTGTTTCTCAATACCTGAAATACTTCTGCCATTGTTTGATGTTTTTATTAATATGTTTTGCATAGAGGAACACACTGCTTGTGAAGAGGTAAAGCTTTAACTTGTATTTAAGTTTTTATTTTTTTCTCTTTAATTTTACCAAGGTTTCAAAACCCGACCCCGGGGGTGACCCATTCAGGCAACCGGGTAATGGGTTAACCGGTTTAACCAATGTTTGACAAGTTTAAAATCTAGCAAACACACCCCTAATAAGTACCATCAGTCCCTATAGGTTTGAAATCTAGCAAACACAACCCCTGGCCAAATCAAATCGATGATCGACTGGGAGAGCAGCGATGACACACCAAAGAGGGTAGATCAGGTGATGGGGAGGATGAATCGGCAGTTGGCAAGTTAAGGCATCACCAGAAAGTGGCAGATCGGTGGTGGAAGTCAAACGGTTGCTATGACTTTTTTTGGTAAGATGATTGTGGATCTTCGTGAACGACGGAAAGGGAGCTTGGGAGAAGGTAGATTGGTGGTTGAGGAGGCTTATTGATGTCGGCAAAGGCACGATCGACGCCGGGAAATGGAAGAAAAAATTTTGGACAACGAAACATTGCGCGACGGCGGGAGATGAAGTGTCACGGCCCCGGAGAAAGTCAAAAGGTGATTTCCGACAACAAGAGAAGGTGGAAGGTCACCGGAAAAGGGGAGGTCATTGCCGATTTGCATTTGGCTAGAGGGTGTATTTGCTAAATTTCAAACATTCAGGGACTCATGATTAATCAGGGGTGTATTTGATAGATTTTAAACTTGGAATAGTTGAAAGGGTAACTTGACATGGAGAAGGCCCTGGGTCCCGGTTCAATAGGCCGAGCCGGTCCGGGTTTTAAAACCATGAATTTTATTATTCTATATATTTATTTCAGTAACTTGAATGTTGGTAGTTGATACACAAAATTGTTTTTTTGTTCGATTAATTATAACAATAAAATTTAAAGTTTGAATCGTAATCAAGTTTAATTATAAATTATTTAAGAAAATCGCTAGACAATGTTGAATGAATAAATCATAGTGTAATAAAAGACAATGCATTTAAATTAATGATACAGCTTGTTATTTATTTGCTTGAAAGTTGGTGATGACAGTCTTCACTTCCCTCTGGGCAAAGATATCGATATTGAAATGGAGAACTTAACCTCATTTTTTTTTTTTTTTTAATTTTTTAAGGTAATCTATAAGTATTTTTCATTTATAAAATATGTATATATGTACATCTAGTAAAGATGGAGACTTTTACTCTTCAAAATTATAACGAACTTTAAACCTTGATATGTTTTTGAAGTTGTAACCTCTGATACTTAGAAGAGTAAAATTCAAGTCCATGATACTTTAAAGGGTAAAAATTCATGTGGTATGAATTTAAATTAATAGTTTCACCGAAAATAAAAAACTCTATTGATTGAATAATTTTCCAATGCATCGAACCACCCAATGAGGTTGTGTCATATCATCGTGTGTGTAGGACATATGCTCCCTTATTAGGTGATTGTAAGTGCTTTGGATACACGAGAGAATTGTTCCTCTCGATATATAAATGAAATTAATCATCTAATTTTGTAACAAAAATTCAATTATTTTCCAATTATCATCAATAGAAATTTGGATATACAAACAATTGGCATGAGAGATTTATAGGGATAAATTATTAAAATTGATGTAATTAAAGATTTAAAAAATATTGTATCGGATCTATTGGATTATTTTAAAAAAATCATTAAACCAAGTCTATCATTAATTCTATTTTTAAATTTCCAATACACGAAAAGCAAGATATGAGTAAAACGTTCATAGTTATTAAAGGTGAAAAAATAACCCGTCTGGCCCGGCCCACCGCGGGTTGTGGAACCTCTTGGCCAAAAAGGCTAGCCCAGCCTGGCCTGCGCCCATAATTTTTTTAATTTTAATTTTTAATTTGTTTTCTTTTGTGTAATTGTTTTTAGTTAACTTTTCAAATATCAATAATTAAATTAAATTAATTTTTTTGTTGACATTTCAAATATTAATCAATTTTAATACAATGAAATTGTAGTATAAAAAAAATTAGATTTATTCATTTATCAAAAAATAAAACAAGAAACAAGAAATAAGAAATTATAACAATTATTGCCTCGTTAAAAACCTTACCAAGAAAAATCCAATTGGGACAAAAACTTGGTAAGGAAAAAAGAGTGCAATAATAGACAATTAATTTACAAATTACAATTTACAAAACAACTAATTTGGGGGTTGACTAGGACCTCCCTCATCCGTATCATCTATTTTGTCCTCATTCGTATCATCTATATTACAAAATTGAAATGATTCTATCAAAGTATCGTCGACAACCTCGTATTGATTCTGATGGTGCGACCGTTCCCAATCTCGAAGACGTGTGAGGATTTTAATCTTTTTTAGTGAAAGTTTAGTCCTCATTTCCTCTAAAATTCTTTCACTTGCACTAAATGTTTGTTCGGATGAGACGGTTGAAACAGGAACAAAGAAAACATCTAGGGCAAGTCTTGATAATACCAGAAAAATACATTTTCTGGTTTTCCAATATTCAAAGACATCAAAGTTGGCTCTTTGTTATGGATCTGCTGGTAATACGTTAGGGGTTCCCAAATATTGGTGAAGCTCATTACTCTGTAGCTGCGTGGAGGACAATACATTCGTTGTTGATGCTTCTGAAAAGGAGGATGTGCTTCGGGTTCGGGTCCTTTTCGGCCTATTAAGTGCACTCCAGGAGTCGAAGTCTTCATTTGTTTCTTCTGATGTTACTTCCTCAGGTATTTCGCCTCTTTGCTGATTCCCTACCTGTTTTAATATTGCAAATATACCTCTGTAAGACACTCTCTTACCTCTCCTAGTTGATTGTCATATGCTTTGTCTTGTAAATTTTCAGTTAATGTGTCTAAACCGTTTTCTAAACGTGCTAATTTAATTCTAGGATCAAATATAGCAGCTAAACAATAAAGAAAAGGAATGAGTTTCCAATACTTTTAAATTTTAATTCCATTGCTTTTATTGGTTCCGCTAAAATTCATTGTTTCCGTTTTTTCTAAATAAATCTGAAATTTTTATAATTGTATGTATTACCAATAGACTAGTAGGATAATACATACCAGAAAGTTGTAAAGTGGATTGGTAAAAA